CAGCCCTCCCCCAACCTCCACAGAGGGAAAAGAGGCTGGAGGTTGAATCAACTGTTGCTGGCAAGTGATTTAATCAATCCCAACAATAATAAGGCCTCTATAAACACCCAAACATACAGGGTTCATAGAGCTTCTGGTTGTTGCACACGTGGAGATGCAGGGAGAGTGGTGGGCTCGGAGTGCAGGGAAGCCCCCAACCCTTCCCCACACCTTGCCCTGTGCATCTGTCTGTCCCTGAGCCATATTTTTTTATAACGAACCAGTGATCTACTGAGTAAAATGTTCCTGAGTTCTGTGAGCCACTCTAGCAAGTTAATGAAGCCCAAGGAGGGGATTGTGGGAACCTCTGACTGAGAGCCAGTCAGTAAGTAGATGGACGAGCCTGGGCTTGGGCCTGGTGTCCAGAGTGGGAGAGGAGGGCGGGCACTCTTGCAGGGCCGAGCCCTTTGCCTGTGGAGTCCATGCTGCCTTTGAGAGTGCTTCTGAATGTGGGGGAGACCCTTCCACATTAGAAATTGGGTCTCAGACCACCCAAAAGTCCCCCTTATCCCTGATGTGTCCTCTTAGTAATCTTCCATCCACTGATCCCCAACCCTACTCCATGGCTACAAATCCCCTCTTGCCCATGCTGTGTTTGGAGCTGAGCCGATTCTCTGTCCCCTACTGTTAAACCCCACTGTGGGGATTTTACACCTACCACCAGGGTCCTGGATAAAGTCTGCCTTATCACTCTTATACAAGTATCACTAAATAGGTTTTCTCTAACAATATAAAAAAATACACTAGGTAAGTCAAAATGGCATTCTAAAAAATGTAAGTAACCCATAAGAAGGCAAGAAAAGAAAACAGAGGCAAAAACCAGAACAGGGGAAAGACGTATTTAGGCCCTAATATGTCAATACTTAGGTTAAAATACAAATGGCCTAAATACACCAGTGGAAACACCGCAACTGGCAGTGAGTTAGAAAACATGATTCAACTACTGGAAGGCCCGGAAGACTGGGGGCAGGTCCAGACCTCTGCAGTGAGGCAGATGGCACAATGCAGCGAGTCATACAACCTTCTTGGACTCCCAGAGCATATACAAGCTATGTTTACACTGCACTGTAGTCTACTCAGTGTGCAACAGCACTCTCTGAAAAACAACCATCACCTGAGCCCTCAGGGAGTGATAATGTTTTTGCTGGCAGAAGGTATCACACCTCAATGTTGATGAAATCAGTGTTTGCAAAATGCAGTACAATGAGGTCTGCCCATATCTGCTATTTAAATAAAACTCACTTCAAACAAACAAACAAACAAACAAATAAAATGAATGAAACTCACTTCAAAAGCAATGATGTAGGCAGGTCGGACGTAAAAAGATGGGAGTACATATTATAAAATCATTAATCAAAAGGAAAAGAAGTACCTATATTAATAACAGGTAAATGAGCACAAACAAAATAAGAGACATTAATAATAATAAACAGGCCACCCCCAAGAAGGTATTCCTAAACATGCATGTAAACATGTGAACAGCAATTCTAATGCATGTGCACCAAACAGAGAGTTGCACAGGCAGAAACTGATAGATCTTAAAGGATCACTGCACTTGGAGACATCAATATCTCTTTCAGAAACTGGAAGGACAATCAACTACCCAGAAAACCAGCAAGGATACAAAAGAATTTAAAAGCACCTCCAACCAACAGGCTCTAATCAACATTTATGGAACAGTCAACAAGAACAGAATATACGTTCCATTCAAATACCAACATAATATACAAGACAGACCACAGGTTGGGCCATCGAGGTCCCAGGAGAAGAAACTCCCAACAAATCAGAAAGAAGTGACAGTGTGTTCTGTGATTACAATGAAATCAAACTACAAATCAATAATAGATAGCTTCCCAGATCCCAGAAAGGGTGGCTCAGTTGGCTGGGCAGCATCCTGCAAAGCAAAAGGCCACTGGTTCAATTCCCGGTCAGGGAACATATCTGGGTTGCAGGTAGAGTCCCCAGTGGGGTGTGTGCAAGAAGCAATCAAGGCTTCTTTTTCTCTCTTTCTCCCCTCTTCCCCTCTCTCTGAAAGAAAATAAATAAAATATTTAAAAAAAATAGCTAACAGGAAAGTCTACAAGCCTTGGAAATTAAACTATATACTTCTAAATAACCCTTGGGTCAAAGAAGGCTCATGAGAAATACAAAATATACTGAAATAAATGAAAATAAAAGCATCATGTTACAATTTGTGGGCCATTACTAAAGCAGTGCTAAGAGGGACATTTTTGGTGCTAAAAGCCCTGCATTAGATATGCTTACACCAGAAAGAAGTCCCAAATCAACAATGTAAACTCCTACCTCTGGAACCTAGAAATGGAGAAGTAAAATAAACCCACAGCATGCAGGATGAAAAAAATAATAAAGATGCAATGAAAAAAATTCAATAAAATTGTAAAAAAAGAAGGGTAGAAAAAAAAATCAGTGAAACAATGAGCTGGTTCTTTGGAAAGATCAATAAAACTGACACCTCCAGCAAGACGGACAAGGAAGAAGAAGAGAGGGCGCATCTCCAGCACCAGGGATAAAGCAGGGCTGGGGCAGACCCTGCCGAGGGTGAGATGGTGAAGGAACGCATGAATCTGCAACTTAAGATGAAAAGAACCAACCCCTTGGAAAACACAAACCACCCCAGCTCATCCACTATGAAGCAGGTGGTGTGAAACACCACCCCATCACCAGTAAGGATGCTGAACCTATAATTAAAATACCACTTCTGCTATGCCCCCTCTAAGTCTTCAAGGTCATGTGGTTTCACTAGAGAATTCTACCAAATGTTAAAAGGGTTAACACCAATTCTGCATAATCTCTTTTAGGAAATTTTGGGGGGGGTTAGGGCACTTTCAAACTCATCTTGTAAAGCTAGTATTACCCTGACACCAACACTAGACAAAGGTGGTAAAGAAAAACAAAGACTAATATCCTTCCTGAATAGATGCAGAAATCCTTAACCAAATAACAGCAAACAAAAACCAGCAATATATAAAGAGATTTTATTGGGGTTGACTCCCAGGGATGCAAGGCTAGATTAGAATTTTAAAATCTCGGTCAACATAATCTACCATATTAACAGCCTAAGGAAAATTCACATGCTCATCAAGAACTGAAGCAGAAAGGCTCTGACAAAACTCAACACCCCTATACAATAAGAACTCTCAGAACTTCCTCAACTTGACAGAGAATTTACAAAAACCACCCTGGCTGGTGTGGCTCAGTGGATTGAGTGCCAACCTGCAAACCAAAGGGTTGCTGGTTCAATTCCCACACAGGGCACATGCCTGCATTGAGGGCCAGGTCCCCAGTAGGGGTGCACAAGAGGCAACCACACACTGATGTTTCTCTCCCTCTCGTTCTCCCTCCCTTCCCTTCTCTTCTCTCTAAAAATAAATAAATAAAAATTAAAAAGCCCTGGCTGGTGTAGCTCAGTGGATTAAGCGCAGGCCTGTGAAGCAAAGGGTCGCTGGTTCGATTCCCAGTCAGGGCACATGCAACAAACAAACCAGAAACTCTATTTCTTAAAACAAAACAAAACCAAAAAAACAAGCAAAAAACCTTACAGCTAACAGCATGTTTATGGTGAAAGATGAACAGTGTCCCTGTGAGACTGGGAACAAGGCAAGGATGCCCCCTTGGACCACTGCTGTTCAACACTGTGCTGGACGTTCTAGTCAGTGGGATGAGGCAAGAAAGAGAAATAAAGACATTCATGCTGGAGAGAATCAAAACTGTCCTTATTTGCAGATGACATGATTGTCTACATAGAAGATCCAGGACTCTAGTTAAAAAGAAACAAATGCACAAAAAAACCCTTCTTAAACTGACATATAAATCCAGCAAGGTCACAGAATATCAAATAAACATACAAAAATCTGTTGTGTTTCTTACACTACAAATTATCGTATTGTCAACAAAACTAAAAATATACCATTTGCAATTGCTCAAAAAATAAAGAACATAGGTATAAATCTAACAAAAACAAAAAATTACAGAACTTACACACTGCGAACTGTGGAACAACAATGACAGTCAGAGAAGGAAGGTGGACGGGAGGTGCAGGGCACTCACAGATCACAAGACTCGGACGGTGACGGTGTCGACACCGCCAACACTGACACGCAGCCTGACAAAAAAACCCTTACCCACAGCCTCGGTGGGACTCCGTGCACACGTGGGCAAGGTTATTTTAAACTGAATACAGAAAGACAAAGAGATGAAAATAGCTAACGTAATTTTGAAAAAGAAGAATAAAATTACCCAACTTCAAAACTGACATGTAAAAATGTATACTCTTAGTGGAGAGAAAGACAAATACATCAATGAAGCGAAACAGAGAACCCAAGAATGACTCACACAAATGCACTTAACTGGTTTTTGACAACAGAGCAGAGCTTTTCAGGTGCCAAAACAATTGGACATCCACTAGCAAAAACCAAAAAAGCAAAACAAAACAACCTGTGACTTAATTCTCCACCTTATTATACAAAAGCTACAGATCATAGATTGTAGGCTTAAATGTATCCTGGACCTAAATGTAAAATGTATAACTAAAGCAAAAAACACAGGAAGAAAAAATCTTTGGGATCAAAACTAGGCAGAATCCTCAGACTTTACACCAGAAGCATGATCCTCAAAGGGAAAAACTGACAAATCAGACTTAATCCAAATTAAAAACCTGGGCTCTGCTAAAGACCCCATGAACAGGCTGTGATGAGAGGAAATGTTTGCAGAACACACATCCAACAAAGAACAAATATGTGGAGTATATAATGAGTTCTCAAAACTCAACAGTAACAAAAGTAAATGGCCCAATTAGAATGTGGGCAAATGTCACACAGATACAGACAGCAGACAAGCACAGGAAAAGATAACAAACTTCACTGGCCGTACAGAAATGCAGTTTAAATCCTAAGGACATATCACTGTGTATCTATCAGAATGGCTAAAATAAAAAACAGTGAAAGCCAACCAATAAGTCTGCTCACCTGAGTAGGTTTCTGCAGAAATTTAGAGAGAGCTGCTAAGAGGAAAGTCATGTTATAAGCCTTAAACACACTGAAGTCACTAAGGTCTCTGAAAATGGCTATAAGAAAAAAATTAAAAATAAAATAAAAAGCAGCAACATCACATGCTGGTGAAGATGTGGAGAATGTAGTGGGAATGTAAAAAGATACCAGACACCCCAACAATTGCAGTGCCCCAAACTGGAAATAGCCTGGGTCTCCTTTAGCAGGGAAGCAGTTCAGCAAAACCTTGGTTCATCCATACCGTGGGTTCTTCCTCAGCAACAAAAACAGAACAAACTACTGACACATGCAAAACAGTGGTCAGAGAACCACAGAAATATGCTAATTGAAAACAGCCTACCTCCCACCTAGTTAATGTTCTAGAAACGACAACACTACCAGATGGATAACACATCAGTGGTTATTGGAGACCAATGGAGCAGTGGGTGTGGTTGTAAAAGGCAATAGGAAAGGTCCTTCTGAAAGCAAACATTCCGTATCCTGTGTATTAATGTGCTGTGACCCTGTATTGTATTTCTACAAGACCTTACCACTCAGTGTAAAGAGTACAAAGAGTCTATTATTTCTTCAACTATAAGTGAATCTGCAATTACTATATAAATAAATAAAACTTTAAATGCACCTGTGTTCAGAGCACCATTATTAACAGTAGCCGTAGCTCAGTGGACTGAGCACGGGCCTGCAAACGAGAGGATCGCAGTTCGATTCCCAGTCAGGGCACATGCCTGTGTTGCAGGCCAGTTCTCAGCGGGGGACCCACCAGAGGCAACCATGCATTGGTGTTCTCTCCCTCTCTCTTTCCCTTCCCCTCTAAAGATAAATAAATAAAGTCTTTTAAAAACTGGATAGACACAGTGGCTTACACGCACACCATGGAACATCATTCAGCCTTAACGAGGAAGGAATTTCTAACACATGCTACCCTGTGGATGAACCTAGAGGACAATATGCTGAGCAAAACTGGCCAGACACAAAGGACAGATGCCTGTCATTCCACTTATGTAGGCCCTCCAGAGGGAGGGGTGGCGCCAGAGCCTGTGGTGCTGGGGGCACGGGAATGACTACCAAGTGGCTGAGGAGTTTCAGCTCGGAGAGGCGAGAACACTGGAGACCGGCTGCACAACAATGGGAATGAATCTTAAGACCACTGAGCACTTAAAAACAGTACTGTACATTAAAAATGGCTAGGATTGTAAATTTTGTTACATTTATTTTACAACTAAAAGTAAAAGTTAAAGAGACTCTAAACGATAAGACCCTTGGGATGGTAATTCTTAATGCAACGGGCAGAAATACTCTTCAGTGAGGATTAAACAGTACTGACTCATCAAAATCTACACCTTCACGCCCTGGCTGGTATAGCTCAGTGGATTGAGCACAGGCCTGCAAACCCCAAGATCACGGTTTGATTCCCAGTCAGGGCACATGCCTGGGTTGCTGGTCAGTTCCCTGCAGGGGCCAGTTCCCAGCAGGGGAAGCACTACAGGCAACCATACATTGATGTTTCTCTCCCTCTCTCCTTCCCATCTAAAAGATAAATAAATAATTAAAAAAAAATCTACACCTTCAGCCTATTTCAGCATAGGGACTGGGAATCTGAAGGTGAGCACCAAAGCTCCATAGGTACTGAATTCACAGCATCCCCTTGCGAGGCATACTAGTTAGTCAAAAGCAACCATTTTCAGTAAAAATAATTCTACCTCCATTGGATAGTCAGCTCAGGTACCTCAGAGCAGATACTGGGACAGATGCCTTGCTCGCTGGGGTAGTTCCCAGGGTGAGGACATCCCACCCCACATGCTGACTTATTCCTTCCCACCTGGAGCCCATCCACCCAAGGTTTAAAGTCCTGTCAAATGCACTGTGTGGAGAACCCACTGCACATACTGTCCTTCAGCTAGTCTTCCACCTATTGAGAACCAGCAGCAATAGGGGTCCCCCCAGCCTAATGGCACCCACATTCTCACAATTGCACCTCATGGCAGCCGGTGGGATGTGTTTGGGAGAACAGTGAAGGCGGTACAGTCAGAAACCCTCAGGCAGGAGCTGGGATGGGAAGGCGTGAGTGAGGAGGACACCTGCAGACCAAGCCTAGGTCCCACCTGGGGAGAACACCTGGGAACGGAGGCTGTACGTGGAAATTCCCTAAAACACCTCTACACAGCTGTGTAATGGTACCGAAAAAAATCTAACTTTCCAAACCCTTTTTCAGTGGAGGGGACACCAAAGCCTCAAAGTGAACAGCCCGGACTCTGAGGCAGGAGAGATGGAATCATATAAACTTGGGTGGGTCCCCTTAGTTTTTCTAGGATGGGGCTGAACAGCCTGTGTGGCAGACACAAACCTGCCAGGGTCCCCCTGTAGCTGACAGAGCACAAAGAGGGTTTTCAAGGCTCCTGAAAGTCACTCACCAGGGGCAGCTGGAGGGCAGTCACCTGCTGTGTGTCCCTCAAAGTCTGGTCCTGGAGGGATGAGTCTTGTGAAACTGAAAGAGATGAGAAAAGCTTATCTCATAACCTCAGGCCTCTTTCCTCATCTGCAAAGGGAGGATTACAAGATAATGCACATAAAAAGCTTCGGGCAAACCACAAGACTGGTTCCTCTGCTTTCAGAGATAATGCTGGGGACTTTTAACCGGGAATTCCTGAGCTCCAGTTGGCTCTGCAACCAAATTGGGAATGCAACTTCCACAGGTGCAGGGACATCAATCTCATGATTCAAACTAAGGAAAAAATAAGGCTGGGAGCTCTGAGTACCAGTAAGAGCTGTCGGCAGGCAGTACAAATTACCGTGGGGCTCCAGGGCCAGATAAATACATACGTGTTTAAGTCACCAACTGCAAACTCCAGAACAAACACCTGTCGCAGTGTTCTGACTACCATTGCTAGGTGTAGAATGAAGGGACACCTTCCTGGGACCACCTTGGGACCTAGGTGGGGGCAATATTCCAGCAGGGCTTCTCTCTCAACTGGCAACCCCACCTGGCTCCAGCTTCAGTAAGCAGTGAGCCTCACACCTTGCCCAGGGCACAGCCATGTGAAAAGAAGCTGTTTCGAAAGGTGGTCCTTTCACAGGAAAGTTGCACCATTGTGTCCTAGTCTCCTGAAGGTTGACTCCATGTCATACATTCAATCAGTGTCAAGGCTGACACAAGAGCCAGTGCCCCTCACCTTTCAGACCCAGGCTGCAGCAGGGACAGGTATAACTCTTTAGAACAAAGGTCTGGAAGAGTGGACAGCTCAGCTTGCAGTGACACTGGGGGTCCCTGAGTGAGGCAGCCCGACCCCTGCCCAGGAAGCATGGCAGGGAGGGCGTGGATGTGAGGCGTGATTTCCTTCACACCTGCCACCTTCCAGGGTGATGATACCTCCACCCCTCCTTTCCCTTGAGACATGAGTACACAGACGCTTTCGCAAACCACTGCGGAAACTTTTCAGTCTTTAAACAAAATCCAGCTTCTTAGAAAGATTTTCAAGATTAGGAACTACGGGGCTTTATTTGTTGGTTTATTTATTTATACTGGAGGCTCATTCCAATGATTCACCAGGTCTCGTTTATTATAGCTCAGGGAAAATGGAGCAGAGCCACTTGACCATCGGTGGTAACTGGCTTGTCTCCCAAGTTCCCCACGAAGCACTGGCTTAGGCTGGGGAGCCCCGTCTGGGGGCACAACCTGCACAGCCCAGGCTGCCTGTACACGTAGGGTTTATTTGGACTGACGGTCCTTGTCTTATGCCTGTCATTACAGGCTGAACTGTGTCCCCACCAAATTTATATGCTGGAGTCCCAACCTTCAGGATGTCAAACTGACTATATTTGGAGATGTTGGTCTTTCAAGAAGTAATTAAGTTAATGTAACATCTTTAGGACGGACCCTAACCCTACTTGACTGGTGTCCTTGTAAGAGACTTAGACACACGCAAAGGAACACAGAGAGATGATGACCATCCACATGCCCAGGAGAAAGGCCTCCAGGGAACCAGGCCTGCCCACACCTGGATCTCCCACTTCTAGCCTCCACAACTGGAAGAAAAGAAATGTCTGGTGTCTGAGCCACCTTGCCTGTGGGACTTGGTTCAGAAGTTCCTAGAAAACTAATACAGCCATCTGGACTTCAAACAAGAGGCCAAAGAGTTTGATTTATATAGGACTTAAGAGTTTCACCCACAAAGAAATTAAAATTTTTGTTAATTGAAAAACTTATTGCAATGCCAAGGACAAGTTCTGTGAATTTAAAGAGTACTCTCCTGGATGCCCCCTTCTCTGCCTGTCATCTATAGTACTGGGCTGACCAAAAAATGTGTTTGGTTTTTACCATAAGATGGCTCTAATAGCACTTAGTTGTCTTTAACTTCACTTGAAAGTTGTTAGGTTGTATTGTGACAGCTATCTGATCAGCATGCATTAAAAAAACTTATCAAAATGGAAAAAAAATAAACTTTTAGCTGTCAAAAAAAAACCCCACTTATCAAAATGGGTAAATTTTTGTGTAGCTATCTTTAATTTAATATTGAATATGGAAGAAAAAACAACATTTTTGGCATGTTATACTTTATTATTTTAAGAAAAGCAAAAGTGCAATTGAAATGCAAAAAGAGATTTGGGCAATGTACAGAGAAGGTGTTGTGACTGATTGAATGTGTCAAAAGTGGTTTGTGGCCCTGGCTGGTATGGCTCAGTGGCTGAATGCTGGCCTGAGAGTCAAAGGGTTGCAGGCTGGATTCCCAGTCTAGGGCACATGCCTGCATTGCAGGCCAGGTCTGCAATAGGGGGCACATGAGAGGCACCCACACGTTGAAAGTTTCCCTCTCTAAAAAATAAATAAAATCTTTTTTAAAAAAGTGATTCGAGAAGTTTTGTGCTGGAGATTTCTTGCTGGATAATGCTTCATGGTTGCGCAGACCAGCTGAAGTTGACAGCGATCAAACTGAGACACTGAGAACAATGAACATTACACCTATGTGGGAGACAGCCAACACACTCGATATGTCCAAACCAATAAAGTTATTGGTGAAAATGAAAAGTGTGTCTTTTTTTATGGAAAAACCATAGGACCTTTTGGCC